CTTGAGGTCAGGAGTTCAAGACCAGCCTGGCCAACGCGGCAAAACCTTGTCTCTACAAAAAATACAAAAATTAGCTGGGCGTGGTGGTGCGTGCCTGTCATCCCAGCTACTTGGGAGGCTGAGGCAGGAGAATCGCTCGAACCTGGGGGGTGGAAGGTTGCAGTGAGCTAAGATCACGCCACTGCATTCCACCCTGGGCAACAGAGCGAGACTCCATCTCAAAAAAAAAAAAAAAAAGGTGCCAGCTCCTCTGTTTGGGAGACCAAAGGCAAGGGGTGTTGGTCACTGACAGTGTGGCTTTCATAACCAAATCCACTTGGCTCAAAGGCCATGTCTGTCACTGAAGAGGGTCTGGTCTGTCGAGCTGTCACTGAGCAAACCTAGAGTTCAAGGAAGAGAGGCCTGCTCTCACAGCCAATTCCTGGGCGCAATCAAATTTTGGACCAATTTCTTGTGTTTCTTTCCTCCCAGACTCCCCTCCCCCAGAAAGCATTTGTCTGTAGACAGCCTGGGGTTCTGAGGTATCAGATTCTTATGGAAATAAGCAGAGAAAGAAGGAACAACAGGCATTTTACAGAAAAAGCTGTCACCAAAGGAGAAGCAACATGGCTGCTGCAGTCCCGCACAATGATTTAATCACCAACAAACTGGAGAACAAAAGCATTTTTGACGACAACATATTGTGACGGCAAACACAATTAGTTTTGCACCACCCTAATAGTTTCATACCAGAAAATAGCGTTGTTGGAAGGAGAACAAGAGAAAAATCTCAGCCTCTAAAGGAAAAATAGTGAAAGATTTCGATTATGTGGTTACATATTTTTCTCCCTGTGTAGATGGCTTCTGTGATTCCACCACACGTTACATGAGACATCTGCCAGTCACCAATCTTAGATTTATGCAATATGGGCTTAGATTTATGCAATATGGGCTCATTCTGCCCCTTGATCCAAAAGGGCCACTCTACTGGGGAAACCGTTGTTGCCACAGCAGGAAATTTCAAGGCATGTCTATTTCTTGAAATGTACCTTGCAACCCATGAGGAAAGGCACGCTTTAGATACACACAGGAAAACCTAGTTGGCCGGGCGCGGTGGCTCAAGCCTGTAATCCCAGCACTTTGGGAGGCCGAGACGGGTGGATCACGAGGTCAGGAGATCGAGACCATCCTGGCTAACACGGTGAAACCCCATCTCTACTAAAAAATACAAAAAACTAGCCGGGCGAGGTGGCGGGCGCCTGTAGTCCCAGCTACTCGGGAGGCTGAGGCAGGAGAATGGTGTAAACCCGGGAGGTGGAGCTTGCAGTGAGCTGAGATCCGGCCACTGCACCCCAGCCTGGGTGACAGAGCAAGACTCCGTCTCAAAAAAAAAAAAAAAAGAAAACCTAGTTTAGTTTATTGGATTGGGTATCACCAACTACAGAGCATTCCTTCCCATGGAAACAGATGAAGCCGAGGAGAAAAGCATAAAATTATGAATGATTAAAAATGGTCTGTAACCAGCTTCCAATCTACTTGAGAAACAGGAGGAACGCACAGGAGGAACGCACGCAGCAGGCTGCAATAACGTCCCTCTTGTGAAAAAGAAGGAAATTGCTTCTAGTGTGAAAATGTTACTATTTTAGGCGACAGGCATATTCATGGGTAAATCTGTTATCTGCACATGCTTCAAACACAGATGAACCTCAATGACATATGCTAAGCGAAAGACAAAAGACCACATGCTGTATGACTCCATTTAAATGAACTGTCCAGAACTGGCAAGTCTTTAGAGACAGAAAGTCGATTTGTGGTTGCCCAGGGGCTGGGGGAGGGGGGAGACAGGGAGAATGGGGAGTGAGGGCTTAATGTTTGGGTGATGAAAATGTTCTAAAATTAGATTATGTGCTCCACAAATCTGTAAATATACTCAAAACGATCGAACAATAGACTTCGAATGGGTGAATTTAAGAGTATATAAATTACATCTCAATAAAGCTGCTTTTAAAAAAACCCTGCAATCCCTGATGGTAACACAGTCACCTATAATTTGAGGCTGAAGGGCTTTTTTTGTTTTTATATAAGAAACATGACCAAGTAATGAAGTAAGATATTTTAATATGATGGATGTTCTAAAAATCATTACTGGCATTGAATCCAATATGTGTGTTGTAAGAGAAATAGAAGCCTGACTCAATTATAAGACATAGGAAGCCAGGCACAGTGGTTCACGCCTGTAATCCCAGCACTTTGGGAGGCTGAGGCAGGCAGATCACCTGAGGTCGGGAGTTCGAGACCAGTTTGGCCAACAAGGAGAAACCCCGTCTCTACTAAAATTACAAAAATTAGCCGGGTGTAGTGGCACACGCCTGTAATCCCAGCTACTCAGAAGGCTGAGGCAGGAGAATCTCTTGAACCCGGGAGGCGGAGGTTGCAGTGAGCCAAGATCACGCCATTGCACTCCAGCCTGGACAACAAGAGCAAAATTCTCAAAAAAAACAAAAACAAAAACAAAAACAAAACAGAAAGACATAGGAAATGCCTTACTATGATGCTGTGTGCTCTCCGAAATGAACCTTCATCCAACGCCTAAGTGAAGGCAATTTCTTTACCTTACTTCACTGTAATGAGGAACACTGCCATCGATGGACAGAAGCAGCGGATGGTAAATTGGACGAAGAGCCTTTGTCTTCAGGTTCCCAGCTGTGCAATGGGACGCATCTTTCCCATGTCTGTGGGCCTTATGCATCTCCATCTGGATAATATGCTGATTAAGTGCAGCGATTGTGTCCTCTGTCCCCTGGAGCATCCCTCTGGCCCAGGGTAGGGCACACAGTAGGTTGCCAAGCCACACTGGCTATTTTTGGCTGGCTGCTTTCCTTCCAAGCGGTGTTAAAGGTCTGCGTTAGGCGGGTAAGATAATTTAAGCTCCCCAAACCTTCCCCCTGCCCACGCTGCATGCCACCTGGAGCGACAATGTTCTCTACTCTTCGTGGACATTTCTGGAGCTCCCCAGCCATGCACAAAGATTGGTAAACTCTAGAACATGGAAGAGTGCTATCTTTCATGCCTCCTGACAGTCTGTCTTTTATTGCTGATATCCACTAACTGGGCAGGTCTAATTGTAAAATGCTTTGGTAAACATTTCTAGGACTTCTTCCCGTGGCGGAGATGCAGAGTTCACAGAACAGGGTTGTTGTACTGAGCACTGTGGAAGCCACAAGGATCTGCCCTGCATGTCAAGTCTTTTTTTTTTTTTTTTTTTTTTTTGAGTCGCCCAGGCTGGAGTGCAATGGCATGATCTCAGCTCACTGCAACCTCCCTCTCCAGCAATCAAACAATTCTCCTGCTTCAGCCTCCCAAATAGCTGGGATTACAGGCACCTGCCGTCATGCCCGGATGCTTTTTGTACTTTTGTAGAGATGGGGTTTCACCAGGTTGGGCAGGCTGGTCTCAAACTCCTGACCTCAGGTGATCCTCCCGTCTCAGCCTCCCAAAGTGCTGGGATTACAGGCATGAGGCACCGCGTCCAGCTGCATGTCAAGTTCTTACACAATGTTTGCCCCCTATTAGATACTCAGGGATGAGCTCTTAAGCGAAGGGACCAAGGAATGAATAAATGAATCTCCATGCCAATCACAAAGAAGAGAAATCTGAGAGTGAGCCCTGGGGGTGTCTGAGAACCAGGAGTATTTGGATCTAAGCCTTGAAAGAGTCTGCTTAGATTTTCTTGCTGAGGAAAGAGGAGGGGGCAAGGAGTACAGGAAAAGCAACAAAACCCCAAAGTGTCTTAAAGTAGAGTTACTGGGACAAGTTGCAGACTATTAATTGCAAGGGAAAAAAATCCTAACAGACAACTGGTTTACATGATCCCTACTTAAAAATATACCTTGGGGTTTGCAGAATGACCTTGAAATTATATCGTCACCAGTCTTTCCAAATACAGAGAAATGTGACTAAGTAACAAAAGTCATCGCCTGGGAAACATGGTGAAAACCCCTCTCTACAAGAAATACAATAAATTAGCCAGATGCGGTGGTGCGTGCCTGTAGTCCCAGCTACTAGGCAGGCTGAGGCAGGAGGATGGCATGAGCCTGGGAGGTTAAGGCTGCAGTGAGCCGTGAAACCAAGAATTCTGATTCCCTGCTTGTGTGAGTTTCGCTGCGTCTTGTCTACCAGCTCATTTGCAGAGCACAGAGACGTCCTTCTCCCTGCTTTTTAATTTATTTTCTGTAACACACACAAATACACGATGTGCACAAAGAAGACAGTCAACCAATTTCGATCGTCTGGATGAACCTGAGGAGAAATTCTGAGCAGATGGGTACTTGAGAATTGAGAGAAGCATGAAAGAATATTATTTCAAAGACTGAGAGCGAATTGGAACTGGATGACATTTTAGAGATTTGCCCTTATTTTTTCCTAATTGAGGCATATCACTTCTGCTAGGGTCATATAAAATGAGTGAGTGTATTGAGTCTCCGGGGTTTCCTGACTCTCAGTTGGATTATGTTTTTTATTAGATGCCAGTGGTACTGGGCATGTTACATTAATCCATATTTAAACTAGGGTGACCTTACGTCCTGATTTGCCCTGGATGGTCCTGGGTTACACCTGTTGTCCCAGCAGAATTATTCATAGCATCCTCCTCCACCGTCAGTAGCATTCCGGTTTGGAATATTAAATTCTGCAATCACTCCAACTTTGACTCCTAAATGTTTTCTAGAATATGCCATAATTTCTCATTAATTATTGCAACTTATGGCTATTTTATAGATTTCTGAAACCCATCCTTTTTTCTGTTGGATTTTAAGCATCCTTTGAACTTTAGAAGGCTCCTTACAGAACTGGAAAGCCATCCACATAAAGACAACTGTTGTTCATTAATAACACATGTTAATTAACATGTGTTGCTAATTAATAATATTTATATTATTCAGGTTATATTCCTATTTATCAATGATATTAATTAAACTATGTATTAAGCATGCAATGAATGTCAATGGTTGAATAGCACATACCTTCATAGCCAAAGAGAAGTAATAGCAAAAAGCCTTCTATCTTGCGTGACATCTTCCCCTCGTCCTCGGCCGAAGCTCTACCTTACTGAACTGGAGAGCTGGCCCAGGAGCAGGGGATTAAGTTGAGCCCTGGCCTCATTAAGCATCTTAATCCATTTAGTTCTTAGGTCTTCGGCTGAGCCCCATCAAGTTAACCCACAGAGTTACCTGCCTCAACAAGGAAGTTTCATGGAAGATACTTGCATCAACTGAGATTCAGTTTGCGAGGAAGATACTTTTCGTTCTTTGTTTCTGTTTTTGTTTTTGATGGAGTTTCGCTCTTGTCACCCAGGATGGAGTGCAATGGCGCCATCTCAGCTCACTGCAACCTCTGCCTCCCGGGTTCAATCTAGTCTCCTGCCTCAGCCTCCCGAGTAGCTGGGATTACAGGCGTCCGCCACCACGCCCAGCTATTTTTTTTGTATTTTTAGTAGAGATGGGGTTTGGACCTCCCAAAGTGCTGGGATTACAGGCATGAGCCACTGCACCCAGCCCATACTGTTTTCATTCTGTCTTAATGTAAGGGAAGCAATGGAGGGAGAGAGGAACTACACCCAGAAGTCTCAGGTCTTCGTCCTTTCTTCGCCATCATCTTCTAGGGGGTGACCTTGAACAATTTCCTGCCACGTAAGCACTAACATTCTCGAATTGTATGAAAATGTCATGGATTCCCCTCTTTGAAAGCAACTAGGCATCATGTGCACACTTATTCACCCAGGAAAATGCTAAATTTCGTGGTGGTGGGAGGACAGTTACACAAAGCTGTGCATTGCTGTGTTACTTTTAAGGACAACAAATTGGAAACAATCTAAATGGCCAAGGTTAGGGGACTGGTTAAGTAAATCAGGAGATGAGTGCAGCCTGGTAGGGTTAAGAGCACAGACTGCCAACCCAGACTGGCTGCCAAATCGCAGCACTAGCACTTGTTACATTGTGACCTCAGGGCAAGTTATTAACATCTCTGTGCCTAAATTTTCTCATCTGTAAGATGAGATAATAATGCCTACTTTCTAGAGTTATTTTGAGGCTTACAAGAGATCATATATACAAAATACTTAGCACAGTGCAAGACATAATTAGCTATGATTTTTACATCATCATTCAGAATAAAGTTGATGGGAGGAAAGGGGGAGTTGTTTAATAGGTATAGAGTTTGAGTTTTGCAAGATGAAAAAGTTCCGGAGATCTGTTTCACAACAGTGTGAATATACTTAACACTACTGAACTGTACACTTAAAAATGATTAAGGTGGGCTGGAGGTGGTGGCTCACACCTGTAATCCCAGCACTTTGGGAGGCCAAGGCAAGCAGATCACTTGAGGTCAGGAGTTCGAGACCAGCCTGGGCAATATGGTGATACCTCGTCTCTACCAAAAATACAAAAATTAGCTGGGCATGGTGGTGTGCACCTGTAATCCCAGCTACTCGGGAGGCTGAGACAGGAGAATCGCTTGAACCCAGGAGGCCGAGGTTGCAGTAAGCCGAGATGGCGCCACTGCACTCCGAGCCAGACTCTGTCTCAAAAAAAAAAAAAAGAAAAAAGGCCGGGTGCAGTGGCTCATGCCTGTAATCCCAGCACTTTGGGAGGCCAAGGCGGGCAGATCACGAGGTCAGGAGATCGAGACCATCCTGGCTAACATGGTGAAACCCCGTCTCTACTAAAAATACAAAAAAAAATTAGCCGGGCGAGGTGGTGGACACCTGTAGTCCCAGCTACTCGGGAGGCAGAGGCAGGAGAATGGTGTGAACCCGGGAGGCGGAGCTTGCAGTGAGCCGAGATCGCGCCACTGCACTCCTTCCAGCCTGGGCGACAGAGCGAGACTCTGTCTCAAAAAAAAAAAGAAAACAAAAAAGAAAAAAAGATGGTTAAGGTGGTTTAAAAAAAGAATAAAGTTGAAGTGATTGTAATAACAGGGAAAGAGTTATAATCTTAAGTTAGGAAAAGACGCAAATTTCTACACTGTTAAGGATGCACAACTAGGTTGAAAAATGCAGAGAAAAATACTGAGTGACCTTTCTCATTTTATTTTTTTGCTACCGCCATCTCACCATGGCCCACACCCTCATTCCTCTTGTCAAAGATAAAAAAGCCAATATTTAAACAAATAATAAACTCCCCAAACGAAACTGTAATGAAATAGTAAAGAGGAACAGAAAGAAACTAGAGAAACGTTTGCTCATTCAACCAGTATTTATTGAATGTCTACAAGCCTGACATTTATTTTATACTGTGTATGAACTCTATTCCACAAATTCTACTGCTGCATTATAAAGGACTGTGGGTTTTTTTTTTTTTCTTGCTCTGTACATCAGAGTTTAATGAAAAATAGAACTTTTAATCAGAGTCATAATAATGATCGACCTTTAATAATTCAGCTACAGTCAAAGCGCTGCTGTATTGCCTGCCACATTTTAGTTGGAGGCTGGGTGACCGGCCCTTGCTGACTTGCAGGCAAAGGGCAGCCAGGTGCATTCCCCGAGCGCCCGATTTTCCGAGGCGTACTGGGAAGAGAGGTGGGGTAGGGCCTGGCCGGATCGGGGGCGCCGGATTGGGTCTAGGACTTCGCCTGGCCCCTGCCCTCCACTATTTCTCATGTCAGACGATGGCGGCAGCGACCTTGTGGGATAGGAGAGGGTATCTGTTATTTCACTTCTGCGAGAAAAACATGCCAAAAATTTTAAAAAGAAGAAAAGGACAAAGAAAAACACTTTGTGGTAGCGTTTTTGTTTGTTTAACCGAAACCCCTTTTTTTTTTTTTTTTTTGAAAAACCCAAACACACCAAAGTCCTGAAGGATTAGGAAGCAAAAAGAGCCGCCTCGCGACCATGGTTCCACTGGGGCTCGAACCCAGGACCTTCTGCGTGTAAAGCAGACGTGATAACCACTACACTATGGAACCGCTACGAGAAAAACGTCTCGTTGAGACTTTATTCATAGACTCATAGCAGTGCCAGCCCCCTCCGCCTGAGCCCCGCCCCTTCACCGTGATCCCGCCCCCGAGGCGCGGGGTTTGCGGCAGCTCTGGGTCGCTGGCTCCGGCGTTTGGGCGGCTCGTCATTCCTGTCCATCAGAGTCGCGGCCCCTGGGACCAGGGCGAGGCCGGGGCTCCGGCCGAGAGCACCTCCCCGCTATCACCTGTCCCCAAACTTTCCCTCAGTCGAGGTGCCGGCGGGGCGGCTCGACGGCCGGAAGTGCACCCTGCTCGGGCTCTGCACCCCCGGCAGCTTCCTCCGCCCGCGAGGGCCCCGCGCGTTCCCATTTCCCCTACCAGCAAACTGAGCCTCGGCCACCCGGCCCACTTGCCCGTCGGAAGTCAGAAGGCGGCGTGGAAGGCCTCGCTTCTGGGGCAAGGAGGACAGGGGCAACCCTTGGAACCAAGTCAGGCAGCGCAGGGGATGGGGGTGGGCCGGGGCGCACTTTTGCGTTGGCGCCTGGCTTGCCGGGGTTGGAAAAGGCCGCTGGTTAGCGGGCCCTTTGCCCGAGGGTGTGGACCTCTTCCCGCTCCCCTGCCTCTTCCCGCAGCCTTCTTCCCCTCCCGAGGCCAGGCCTAGGGAGGTGCAAATGGCAGGGCTTCCGTTAGGTCCCCTTGGTCTAGGGCTGCAGGGATAGGGGGACGAAGAGGTGTAGACGGGCCACCCCTCTATGGCTTCCAGGGAGGCAGCAGCCCTGGCCACGTGATTGAGGGGCCCAGTGCAAAATGAAGATGCCAGGCACCTTGTTGTTAAGTTCTTGAGAATTTCACACCGTAACAGCAGAGTATTCAACCCGGCGCGGGGTCCCTGACTTGGTGGCAGGACTGTAGTCTGGGTAAGGGGCTGGGACCCTCCATCACAAAGGGTGCTTCTTGGTTTTCATCGTCAGTGTCATTTGCCTTCTTCAGGGCTTCCAGATGGATCTTCGTCACCACCCTAGGATTGCTTACCATCCTCAAGCTTGAAAACACACCTGTAATCATTTGGCGGGGGAGAGGCACCTTTAAGCGCCCAGGTGAACTTTGTCTGCAGGCAGCAACTGTCCTTTTTGCTGGATCTTCCGCTGAGGTCGGTAGGTTGATAAAGTGATACTGATTTTATGGCAGGAGCTCCCTTCAGCCAACTCCTGTCTTCCTGGGAAGGCCTCTGGAAGAAACCAGGTGGGTGCAGGGAACACTAATGTGGGGGTCACGATCTGGATGTTCGTCTTGATTTGGCCATTTATGAGCTGGGTACTCGAGCTAGTCTGTTCACCTCCGGTCTCAGTCTCCTCCTTTGTGAAATACAAGGGTTGGACTAAACATGTCCACTTTCACTTCTGGGTCTCAATGTTATGCCCACCTTCCAGGTAGGAAAACGGAGGCGGTTATCTGCCATGTAATTTCCCCCCCAGAAATAGAGGCAGGCTAGCTAGTGGCGTGGGTTTTTCTAGTACCTGCTTCCCAATGTCTTCAGTTAGCTCCCTGTCATATTCATCATGGGCCCCCTTCTAGTCTGCTTTTTTGGTGAGACATTTTCAGAGGCCTCTGGAGCGCTTGTTGCCTAGATTGTGGGCCACAAGATGACCAGAGTGGCCAGCCACCAGCCAGAGGATGCATTCGTGAGAGCTCCACGTTTCCCACTCAGGACTCCTGGGAAGCCTGATAATAAGTGTTTCCCACCTGTTTCCAAACCCCTAGCAGTGGAAAACAAGATCGCCAGGAATTGGCCTTAAAATTACACCCACTGGTTGTGTTTTGGATAGTGTCTCTAGGAAATGCTTTGCTCTCCAGCCCCCCACATCCCGATTTTTCTGTCTTTCCCTGGCTCTAAAGGTATGTTTGCCAAGTTCCCACACTTAACCTCCGTGTAGAAAAGAAGCTGGTGTCCCTCTGTTGCATGCAACACAGGTGTCTGCCTTTGATGAAAAACTCTTGTTCCTTTTCTCCATTCCAGGAAGGAAACTATGTTCTGTTCTCCCCACCACCCCTACAAGGTGTCATCACAATCTTTTCTTTTTTTTTTTTTTTGAGACAGTCTCCCTCTGTCACCCAGGCTGGAGTGCAGTGGCGCGATCTCAGCTCACTGCAACCTCTGCCTCCCGTTCAAGTGATTCTCCTGCCTCAGCCACCCAAGTAGCTGGGATTACAGGCACCCCCCACCATACCCGGCCTACTTTTTGTATTTTAGTAGAAATGGGGTTTCACCGTGTTGGCCAGGTTGATCTCAAACTCCTGGCCTCAAGTGATCCGCCCGCCTCGGCCTCCCGAAGTGCTGGGATTACAGGCGTAAGCCACCGCTCCCAGCCCCACCCAGCTCAAATTCTGTGGTCATTTTTATCACTTGCTTGTTTGCCCTTTCATTTTTTCCTTGTGCTTGTTGGTAAAACCACAGTCTCTCACATCTGACTATCTCCCTACCCTGCCCCTGAACACGGCCCAAGAAGAACACATCCAAGCTGACTGGTTTCACACTAAATTCATGTACTGCTTAGCTCAAGTGAGCCCTTTCTGCAGTCCAGAATATGTGTTCACTTCTCCTAAAGGACAGTTTCATGTCTTGTCTCCCTAAACCTCCTGTACCCCCAACCCCAATCTCGGTTACAGCCGATGACCTAGCTTCCTATTGCGGTGAAAAAATGGAAGCAATCAGAACTTCTGCAAGTCCCCTGCCAGCCACCGTCTGCTCTCATGCGCTTCCTCCAGATCAGAATGAGTTGGGACTGGCTAACTGTGTGGTAGGGGCTGTCCTGTGTATTGTAGGATGTTTTGCAGCATCCCTGGCCTCTATTCACTAGATGCCTGTGGCACACATCCTCCCCCACCACCCAGCTGTGATGACCCAAAATGTCCCCTGGGGTACAAAATCTTGGGAGTTATTTGGCAATATCTGGAGACACTTTTGTTGGTTATGACTGGGAGAGGGGTACTATAGGCACCCAGTAGGGAGAGGCCAGGGGCACTGCCAAACATTCTGTGGTGCCAGCTACTCTGGGGGAGTGAGGCGGGAAGGATCCCTTGAGCTCAGGAGGTCAAGGCTATTGTGAGCCATGACTTCACCACTGCACTCCAGCCTGGGTGATAGACTGAGAACCTGTCAAAAAAAAAAAAAAAAAAGGCCAGGTGCAATGGCTCACACTTATAATCCCAGCACTTTGGGAAGCTGAGGCGGGCGAATTGCTTGAGCTCAGGAGTTCGAGACCAGGCTGGCCAACATGGCAAAACCCCAACTCTATAAAAAAAAATATATACAAAAAAATTAGCCAGGCGTGGTGGCGCATACCTGTAGTCCCAGCTACTCTGGAGGACTGAGGCGGGGAGGATCCCTTGAGCCTGGGGAGGTTGAGGCTGCAACAAGCCCAGATCGCATCACTGCACTCTAGCCTGGTTGACAGAGTGAGACCCTATCTCAAAAACGAAAACAAAAGCAAAAAAACAGGATAAAGCTCCCTTAGTTCCACTTCCACCTGTGCCACTTCCATTTCTGTGCTCTCCTTTATAACATAATTCTTAGATTGGTTTTTGGTGCTTTCTCTTCTTTCCCCGCCCTTGGGACTTGTTCTAGCACTCCACCAAAATTCCTCTGATCCAGTGACTTCCACATTGCTACACAGAATAGCTCTTCCTTTTCATCGGATTTGATGTACCAGCAGCATTGAAAACAACCCATCACTCCATTTTGAGGTACTCTCCCCTCGGCATTTAGGATGCCGCCCTTTGGCGATGTTTATTTCCTCTCACTGCATACTCCCTTTTGGTTACCTTTGCTGGAGCCTCATCTGTTTGACCTTTAAACACAGCCGTACCTCAGAGGTCTCGGTGCTTGGACTTCTCTATTCATTCTCACCACCCCAGCGACCTCATTGAATCTAATGGCTTTTAATACCATTGAGAACCTAGAAGATTCCAAGTGTGTATCTCTAGTCTAGACTTTTCTCCCAAACTCCAGACCTACATGTTCAGCATCTCCATTTAGATGTCTGTTAAGCATCTCACATGTCTGTGCCCACGCTCCTGATCTCTGCCCCTAAATCTGCTCCTCTCTTGGTATGTTTTTCTTTTTCAGAGACAGTTTTGCTCTGTCACCCACCCTGGAGTGCAGTAGTGCCATCTCAGCTCATTGCAACCTCCGCCTCCTGGGTTCAAACAATTCTCGTTCCTCAGTCTCCCGAGTAGTTGGGATCACAGGCGTGTGCTACCACATCCGGCTAATTTTTTTTCTGTACTTTTAGTAGAGATGGGGTTTTGCCATTTTGGCCAGGCTGTTCTCGAACTCCTGGCCTCAAGTGATTCACCCATCTTGGTCTCTCCAAGTGTTGGGATTACAGGCATGAGCCACCGCGCCTGGCCTCTGTCTTCTTTATCTCAGATAATGGGAACTTCATCTTTCCAGTTATTTAGGCCTAAAACTAAGAATCATACTTGATTCTTCTTTTTCTCACACCCCCAACGTAATCTTACTAGCAAATCTTATTGGCACTACCTGCGGGATCTATCTAGAATCTTCTAGCTTTCTGTCATCTCCCCAGCTATACTCTAATCAAAGCCACCACACATTTTGCCTGGATCATAGCCAGTAGCCTCAGATCTTGGCCTTCTAGCTTCTGCCCTTTCCTCTCTACAGACTATTCTCCACACAGTAGCCAGAGTGGTCCTTTCAAGATCTAAATTAGGTCTCATCACTGTGCAAAACCCTTCAATGGCTCCCTACCTCAGCTAGAAAAGCTGAAGCCTTACAGTGGCCTACAAGGCTTGTGCCTCTCTGATTATAAATCCTCTTGCTGGCCAAGCATGGTTGCTCACGCCGGTAATCCAGCACTTTGGAGGCCGAGGTGGGCAGACACTTGAGGCCAGGAGTTTGAGACCAGCCTGGCCGGCATGATGAAATCCCGTCTCTACTAAAAATACAAAAATTAGCCAGGTATGGTGGCATGCACCTGTAATCCCACCTACTTGGGAGGCTGAGATGGGAGGATCGCTTGAGCCTGGGAGGTGGAGGTTGCAGTGAGCCGTTACTGTGCCATTGCCCCCCAGCCTGGGTCACAGAGCAAGACCCTGTCTCAAAAACAAAAACAAAAATCCTATGACTTTGCCTTGGCTTTGACTCCACTCCAGCCACACCGGCCTGCTTGCTGCCTTTCAGTTACACTAGGCCTCTCCTGCCTCGGGGCCTTTGCTGCTGCTGCTCTCAGCCTTGAATAGTTTTTCCTTAAATCACGCTGTTGCTTGTTCTCTCACCTTGCTCGGGTCATATCCAAATATCTTCTCAGTGAGGCCTTTCCTGACTACCTACTGAAAATTGCTATTATTCTTTTCCATTCATGCTAGAGACTCACTGCCCCCCTTTCCTGCTTATTTTTCTCTGCAGCACTACATTTCTTTCCTTTTTTCTTTTCTTTTTTTTTTAGACAGCGTCTCTGTTGCCCAGGCTGGAGTGCAATGGTGTGATCTCGGCTCACTGCAGCCTCTGCCTCCTGGGTTCAAGCGATTCTCGTGCCTCAGCCTCCTGAGTAGCTGGGACTACAGGCACCTGCCCCATGCCCAGCTAATTTTTATATTTTCAATAGAGACAGGATTTCATCATGTTGGCCAGGATGGTCTCCATCTCTCGACCTCATGGTCTACCCTCCTCGGCCTCCCAAAGTGCTGGGATTACAGGCTTGGGCCACCACGTCTGGCCTGCAACACTAAATTTCTACATATTTACTAATTTATTTTGTTGATTGTCTGTCCCCACCATCCTCGACTGGAATGCAAGTTCCATGACGGCATGGATTTGGCTTCGTTCTCTGCTGTATTACACAGAGTCTAAGTAGTTTCCAGCGTATGAGTAAGTGCTCAGTGAATGTGTCTTGAAAACAATGTGTCAGTGTTGAGGGTGACTCAAGCCAAGGCAGTGAGTTCCAGTTAGAGCTAATCCTGGGCTTTTGCTTGACTTCTTGAGCAGAGACGTTTCCTAATTCATCCTGGACTTGAACGTGAGATGATCTAGAGGCTGGCAGTTCTGCTGCCATCTTACTATTGCATTATATTAGGGCTCTTGGTTGCATACAACAGAACCCTCTTGTTCAGAATATTCACTTCTCTTCCCCATGTAGGATTTTGACACCATGGCCCCCCTGATAGACTTGCCCAGGTGACTTGCTTTGCCCAGTTGAATGTGAGCAGAAGTGATGTGTATC